CTATTCTATTCTATTCTATTCTATTCTATTCTATTCTATTCTATTCTCTGCTTTCTAAAGAGTCTGTGTTGATAAGAATAAGGTTATTTAAATTTTACATCCAAAGCTAAAGTTGGCATTAATAAACAACTGCAAATTATATTATTTATGGTACAATACTGTATAGGTTTCTGTCTTAAGCTTAATACTTAATATCAAGATCTCCACTGTATTATCTATTACTGTTTTCCATGTTAAAGAACAAAAATAGAATAAACAACAAAAAGCATTTATTTTGGCCATGCTGTATAATGTGTTGCAGATATGGGAAACATTCTCGCTTGAATAAAAATACAATTTTTAATAGTAATTATAGTATTTAACCTATATCTAACCCTACCAGCCCATGTTCATTTTATCAGATGCACCAAGTGGACAACTGAGATTTATCACTGATTGCAATTGATAAAGGCCACATTTGTCCACAAAACTCTGCCATTATATTAGCTGTGATAATGATTAGATAGGGGGTGGGAGGCAGAAATAGAGGTTTTAAAATGTTCCAAGTTTGATTCTAATAAAGGTGAATTTAAGAGATTAAAGTAGTCCCAAGTTTTTTCCCGAAAGAAAGATGAACTTAAGAGGTTTTAAAATGCTCCAAATTTGGTTCCAAAGAAAGGTGCATTTAGGAAACCTAAAATGTATGTTGTTAAGTGAGAAGTTATCAAGTGAGTTTTGCCCCTTTTCACGACCTTTCTTGCCACAGTCGTTAAGTGAATCACTGCAGTTGATAAGTCAGTAACCCAGTTGTTAAGTGAATCTGGCTTCCTCATTGACTTTGATCGTCAGAAGGTTGTAAAAGGGGATCACATGACCCCCTGGACAGTACAACCGTCACCAAAGTTCGCAATATCATAAGCAACTCAAATACAACAAACATCTCTCCTGAAGATATCATTGAAATAACCAGAGATGGCCCTGGGTACAAAATGGCCCCAAGAGTTTGTAGAATTGTGTGCAAAAATGAGGCCAGCAAACGCATATTCATTCATAGAATAAACACCATGGCAAAAACCAATCCCAACCACAAAAAACTTTGCTCAAGACCAGACTTATCCATACTGCAAAGAATCCGCTCCTGTGAATTCCGTGAAGAACTCAAAAACCATCTAGACAATGGAGAAAAGGATCTATACATTCACTACCGAGCTGATTGCATCAAAAGAAAGTCACACAACCCATAACTCCACATCCAACCCCACCCCATCCAATCCAATCACTCAAAACTAGGCACGCACGCCCCTAACTACCTCTGTTCCAACCACAACTGGCCTTAAATGCAAGGTACTCAATGCAAGAAGCCTTGTAAATAAAATACTTGAATTTCTCCTCTTACTAAATACAGCTAAATTTGACATATTTGTCTGTGAAACATGGCTCAACACATCTCTCCCTGACTCCATTACCACAGTAATAGACTATCATGTTTATCGATCAGATCGTGAAATCCGTAGAGGAGGTGGTGTTGCTATCTTCTATAAAAAGTCCCTACATCTAAAAAACATCCAAGTTACCCAAGAGCTGCTCTTCCTGAGACCATCATCTGTGAACTGTCCTTAAATATCACATTTCAGTTCTGACTATGTTACAGAGCCTGATTATGACATCAAAAATGCGAACAAGCTAAATACACTACTAACATGGGCAGCATCATGCCCACACACTTTTATCTTTCTTGGTGACTTCAATTTACCTCATATTAACTGGACCCTTAACATACAACTGAACCCACACATACAACCATCTACAATGCAGTAACAAATCTGGGACTAGAACAACTAGTAACCAACAACACTAGTCTTAACAACTGCCTCAATCTCATCTTCTGCAATAGTTTGAATTCAATTTACGGAATACAAATTAAAGAACCCTTTTCCAACAGTGACCACAACATGATAGACTTTTGTCTCAACATACGTCCACACAAAAATCATCACAATGATGGAATCCTCAATTATAACTTCAAAAAAGGCAACTATGATCTTATAAACAACGATTTCTCATCCCTTGATTGGCAATTTCTATTCACTGGATGCAATACTGTAGAAGACTATTACAACATATTTTTACTTGAAGTCAAAAGAGTCATCAAACTATATGTACCATTAACAACTCCAAAAACCAGAAAAACAAATTACCCATAACAATAAGGAAGCTTCAGTCCAAAACGAAATCATTTTGGCAGAAAAACAAATCTGGTCATGTTGCCAACTTCAAAAATTTGAAGCCGATACAAAAATTTATGCCACCAGATAAAAACTGAATGCACCAATTATCACATTAAACAAGAAGAAAACCTTCTACGCACCAATTCCACCCGCGCTTTGTACAATTTTGTAAACAACAAACTAAAAGACTCAAGGTCCATCCCACCCCTGAAAGGACCTAATGGTAAAGACTGCAACAACGACACCATTAAAGCCAACATCTTTAACACATTCTTTGGCTCAGTATTTGTAAACAGCAATGGATCATGCCCAGTATTTCCTAGTCGAACCACAGACAACTACAATGATCTAATACATATCGATTTTACAGAAGACAATGTTGAAAAAGCACTATGCAATCTAAAACCATCTCTATCTATTGGACCAGACAGAATATGTGCCTACTTCTTAAAAAAGCTACCCACTGCCATAGCCGAACCTCTAAGCATAATCTTTGAAAAATCTTTCAGGACCAGCTCCTTGCCAAAACTATGGTCACAAGCCACAGTCATCCCCATCTTCAAAATGGGAGACCCCAGCCTAGTTGAAAACTACAGACCAATCTCTTTATTCTGCGTCACCTGTAAAGTCATGGAATCAATTATTAACCAATCCATTATCCTCCACTTATAGACAAACAACCTACTCTCCAATAAACAATTTGGTTTCAGAAAAAAACTATCCTGCAATGTGCAACTCTTACACTGCAAAAACATATGGACTACACAACTTGATCAGGGCAAAGCAATAGACGCAATCTACATAGACTTCTGTAAAGCCTGATTCAGTGGTACACGACAAACTACTCCTAAAACTAAAATCTTATGGTATCTCTGGACACCTACATAACTGGATAGAAGCATTCCTGTCAAAAAGACAACAAATGGTCAAAATTGGGAGCGTCCTATCAAATTCTGTACCTGTCAATAGTGGTGTCCCCCAAGGCAGTGTTCTAGGACCAACTCTCTTCATACTCTACATAAACGACCTCTGTGATCATATCAAGAGCAACTGCGTTCTCTGTGCTGATGATGTAAAGCTGTTCAACACCACAGACAATACTGCTACCCTTCAAAAAGACCTCGACTATGTATCAGAATGGTCAAACAAATGGCAACTTCAAATCTCAACAAATAAATGCTCTGTCTTACGTATTGGCAAAAAAAAAAATCAGAAAATAAAATACAGGCTGAATAGTCAAGACCTTGTTGTTCCAAACTCTGTGAAGGACCTTGGAGTACCCATCTCCAATGACCTAAGTGCTAGAGCCCACTATAACTACATAGCCAAAAAAGTGTTAAGAGTTGTTAACCTAATCTTACGTAGCTTTTTGTCTGGTAATATTACATTAATAACTAGAGCATACAAAACATTTGCTAGACCAATACTCGAATACAGCTCATCAGTCTGGAACCCACATTATGTATCTGATATTAACACAGTTGAGAAAGTCCAGAAATATTTCACAAGAAGAGTTCTCCACTCCTCTACTCGTTGCAGAATACCTTATGCCACCAGACTCGAAATTCTAGACCTAGAAAATCTAGAACTATGCCACCTTCGGTCCGATCTAAGTATAGTATATAAACTCATACATTGCAATGTCCTACCTGTCAATGAATACTTCAGCTTCAACCATAACAACATAAAAGCAAACAATAGATACAAACTCAAGGTTAATTGCACCAAACTTGATTGCAGGAAATACGACTTCAGCAACAGAGTGGTCAATGTCTGGAATACTCTACCCGACTCTGTGGTTTCTTCCCCAAACCCCAAAAACTTTAACTTTAGACTGTCTACTATTGACCTCACCCCTTTCCTAAGAGGTCTGTAGGGAGTGTGCATAAGCGCACCAACGTGCCTACCCTCCCTGTCCTATTGTTTCTTTTATTTTTTATTTTTCTTATATGTATCCATGTATTCATAACTGTTTTTACTTATACCTATTATCTTATAAGCAATTGACAAAAATAAATAAATAAATAAATAGATAAATAAATATGAACCATTTGCCAAGCATATGAACTTTGATCACATGACCATAGGGCTGCTGCAAAAGGTTTGTGCCTGTGAAAAACAACTCACTTTTTTCAGTGCCATTTTAACTTTGAATGGTCACTAAATGAACTATTGTAAGTCAAGGATTACTTGTATTTTAAAATGTTCCTAGTTTGACTCAAAAAAAAAGTCAATTTAAGAGTTTTAAAATGCTCCAAGTTTGATTCCAAAAAAGGGTGCATTTAAGACATTTTAAGATGCTCCTAGTTTAATTCCAAAAAAGGTGAATTTCAGAAGTTTTTTTAATGCTTCTAATTTGATTTATTGCATTAGCACCTTTGGCATCAAACTAGGAGCACTTTAAAGTTCTTTTAGCCGCAACGGTTTCTTCTTCTGCGCCTGCAAACGACATGTCCCAGAGATTTGCTGCATGTCTGAGGGAGGGAGGGAGGGAGGGAGAAAAAGGGCAGGGATGAAGGTTGTGTCCCATTTAAAGGCCTGGATGCCGGAGCCAAAATATGTCCTGGCAATGTCCTCCATCTCTTGGGAGCAGACCCCTGCGCTGAGCCGTCTCTGCCTTTGAATTCGGATCTCAACTGGGAGAGGGAAACTTCTGCGAGGCGAGTTTTGCTTCTCAAACAGCCGCACCGTTCCTTATTTGGTGCTCTTCGGCTCTGACTGGGCTGCCGCACCCTGTCATTCTCTCAGTTGGTCTTTGCGGTTTCCGGGAGGATCGTTTCCCCCCCCACCCCACCCCCCGACCTCATCTCAGAAGGGTGTGGGAAAAGGGTGGTGGTGGGGGAAATAGGTGGGGCTTTTGACAACGTCTGTTCACTGCCCGTATGGTTACTGGGGTTCGCGCCCTCCTTTTTCTCAACTGGTACCTTGTAAAAGGAGAAAATATCAGGATGCCCTGATATTTATTATAGGATTTTCCTAAGATATACTGCTGCTGGACATGGACTCTGTTATCCAAAGGAATATGACGACAGTTTTCTGTTCTCCAGCATAGATTTTAACCCTGAAATGAAGACGTTTCTAAAAGGGCTCTGCAGCCCACTGGATTTTGCATGAAATAATAATAATAATAATAATAATAATAATAATAATAATAATAATAA